GGGGGCGCTGGAGTCGGAGCTCGAGGTGGAGTTGCCGGAGTCGGAGCCGGGAGGAGAGGGGGCGCTGCCGGACCAGGGGGCGCTGCCGGACCAGGGGGCGCTGCCGGACCAGGGGGCGCTGTCAGAGAGGGAGTCGCCACCGGGAAAGGGGGCGCTGGAGTCGGAGCTCGAGGTGGAGTTGCCGGAGTCGGAGCCAGGGGGCAGGTCACTTGCCGACGTGGTGTCACTGCCGGACCCGGAGTGGTGGGAGTCAGATGAGGGATCACCGCCAGACCAGGAGGCACTGCCCGGATCGGGCTGACTTGGAGACGATGAGTCAGGAGAGGAGGAGGATGAAGAGGCAGACCCGGGCCCGGAGGGAGATCCGTCATCTGGGGGCCACTAGCTGCCATCCTCACCGCTGCCGGGCGAAGAGGAGGAGGCACTGGCACTGGACCCGGTGTCGGGGATGTCCTCACCCGGGAGGAGACAGAACCCGGCGACGAGACGATGGCCCGCATGGCATGCGGTGCACTTGTCGGCTGTGGGCCCGGCGCAGGCGGAGCATCTCGCATGGCAAAGGTGGCACACCCCATTCTCCAGGGCCAGGGCCAGGGCCAGGGGGCTGGGGGTGCACGAGTGGCAATCGGCCGCGGTGGGCCCGACGCACGAGGCGCATGACCCATGGCAGGGAAGGCAGCGCCCAGTGTCGGAGAGGAAGTAGCCGGCATGGCAGGAAGCACACTGCGTGGCTGAGATACCGTGGCAGGTGTTGCAGGAGCTGTGGCAGGAGTAGCATCGGCCTGTGGTCAGCATCGGCGTGCCAGGGCGACAGGAGATGCAGTCACTCTCGGAGGGGCTGTGACAGGTGGCACAGGAGGCATGACAATTGTGGCAACTGTCGCTGGCGGGGAAGCGCGCCGAGCCCTCGGGACAGCCGAGGGAGCAGGACCCATTGGTGACGGTGTCATAGGGGTTGTCACAGACGATGCACTGGTCGGACAGGGGACCGGAGCATGTGCCGCATGAGGGGTGGCAGGCAACACAAAGGCCCCCCATGGCCAGGGTCTTCCGGGGACAGGTCTTTCGGCAGAGGCCCTCATGAAGCAGCCGGCCATCCTCACAGAGGGTGCAGGTCAGCTCGCCGGAGGCGAAGTGGCATGAGGCACAGCCCTCCGGGCAGGGGACACACTCGCCATCGGGATTGGCGGCATAGCCCACCGGGCAGGAGGCCAAGCAGGAGGATGCCTGCTCATTGTGGCGGAGGCGAAGCAACCCTGCGGGGCAGGGGCCGAGACAGCAAGTGTTGGTCAAGTTGCAGCAATCGTTGCAGGAGGGGTTGCAGGCGAAGCAGGCATTCATGAGGTGCACATGTCCAGGCGGACACTTTTGAACACATCGGCCCTCGAAGAGGATGTAGCCCCATGGGCAAGTCAGGCAGTCGGTGCTGGAGGGCCCCTTACAGGTGGAGCATTGACCATGGCACTGGTGGCACTGGCCGGTGTCGGGGTGTTGATATGTGCCGACATGGCAGGCAGCTTCGCAGGTGAAGTCCTGCCAGTGAGAGGAGAAGGCCAACTTGAAGCCCGGAGAGCAGGCCGTGCAGGTGTAGCGAGAGTAGCCGGAGCATTGGGCGCACAGGGCATTGCAGGGGATGCATCGGCGGATGTTGGCGTCGCTGAAGGTGCCCTCCGGGCAGGTGGCCAGGCATTGGTCGTGCGAGTGGAGGCTGAAGCCGGGCTGGCAGACCCGGCAGCGGCCGTCATCCTGGCAGGAGAGGCAATTCGGGGGACAGGCCACGCAGGTGCCGGAAGCGGGAGACCCGGCCCAGCGATGGCCCTCGGCACAGAGGACGCACGTGTGGGCATCCGGGCCGCAGAGGGCGCAATTCGGCGCGCATGGGGCACACCGGCCGGCCTGCAAGTCGGGGAATTCGCCCGGAGGGCAGATGCTCAAGCAAAGGGCCAGCTCGGTCCGGGGCAAAACCAAACCCGGGGAGCAGGTGTCACAGGAGGTGGCATTGCGGCAGGTGGCGCACGATGCATGGCAGGGAGTGCACATGCGGGTGCTCGGGTGGGGGAATTCCCCCGCCGGGCAGGCGGCGGCACAGAGAGAAGGGCTGCCCATCTTCGGGGCCAGGAAGACCCAGTCCGGAGGGCAAGTCGCACAGGAGGCCTCATTGGTGCATGTGGCACAGGAAGGGTGGCAGGGTCGGCACGATTGGCCGGCCGCGAGGAAGAAGCCCGGCCGACATTCGAGACAAGCCGGGCCCTGTTGCCCTCGGTCGGTGCAGGTGGCGCATCCGGCCGGGCAGGGGGCACAGGCATTGGGGGCATTCGAATGGACCAGGAATCCCGGGGGGCAGGAGTCGCCGCACGTCCGCCCGCCAGGCAGAAGGACCTTGCCCGTGGGGCAGGCGGAGCAGGCCCACGCCGAGTGGGCCTGGGTGCACTGGGCACAGCTCGAGTGGCAGGGCCGGCAGCGAGGCGTGCCTTTGGAGGGAGGCTGGCCAATGGGAGAGGCATAGTCGGGACCGGTGCCCGGGGGACAGGCATCCAAGCAAGCGCCGCCCGGGGCCAAGACCTTGCCCGGTTGGCAAGTGGCGCATCGGGGGCCCAGGTGACAGGGCCCGGGTGTCGAGCGGGGGCTCACATCCGAGCAGGAGGTGCACTCCTCGGCCCCGGGCCCGAGGCAGGTGGAGCAGGTCGGGTGGCAGGGCACGCACGAGTTGGGCTTTCGAAGGAAAAACCCGGAGGGGCAGGTGGCCTGGCAAGATCTGAGCCCCAGGCGAAGGGGGGCGTCTGGATGGCAGGTCTTGCAATGCCGGGGCCCGGGGCCGGTGCAGGTGAGGCAGGATTCGTGGCAGGGGGCACAGGCCCCGGTCGGATCGGGAGTCATGCCATCGGGGCAGGCGGCGACACAGTGGTCCAGGTGCAGGAACAGGCCCGAGGGACATTGCAAGCACTTGCCGGAATCGGCGCAGAAGAGGCAGGACAGGTGGCTGGGAAGGCAGCCGGCCGGCCCGAGGCAATAGCCCTTTGGGCAGCGAGCCAGGCAGGCATGGTTTGCCGGTGCGCCCTCCTTTGCCGGGGGCGGAGTGCCTACCCCGGTGACGAAGGGAAGCAGCCCTGCCGGACAGGGGCCGGTACATGCCCCGGCAGAAGGGCCGGAGCACTGGTCACAGGAGGGGTGGCAGGCCAGGCATCGGCCCTCAAGCGCCACGGTCCGAGGGGGACACCGGTCCTGGCAACGGCCAGCGTGATGGACTTGCTCGAGTGGGCAGGCCAGGCAGTCGGTATCGGTGGGACCGCTGCAGGTGAGGCAGGACGAGTGGCAGGGCCGGCAGACATCGGAAAGAGGGCCGGGGGCCACATCGACGGGGGAGGTCGTTGCTTGGGGGTGGGAGGTGCGGGCAGGCGCGGCAGCGGCGGTCAGGCTGGCGGCGACATGGCGGAAGTGGCCGGCCGGGCAGAGGGGATGACACTCGCCCTCCTGGGAGGACAGCTGGACAAAGTGGAAGCCAGGCTGACAAGCGTGGCATTGGGTCTCGATGGGTCTCGAGCATCCGGAGCAGCCAGGAGGGCAGGCAGCGCACGGGCCACTCGCATGGCTGGCAGCACTTCCGGGCGGGCACTGGGACACGCAAAGCCCATCCAGGCTCAGATGGTACCTGGGACGACAGGCCATGCACCGGGAGTCGGCGGTGCAGGATGTGCAATTCGGCGGACAGGCCACACAGGCACTGGCGAGGGTGTCGCCCGGGGGAGGCGCCTCGGCACGGCGGAAGCCCTCGGCACAGACTTCACAGGCAGCCGGATGGCCACTGCACGCGGCGCATTCCGGCTGGCAGCGTACGCAATGGCCGGTCGATGGGTCGGCCACCCGGCCCGGGGGGCAGACCTTCGTGCAGAGAGACCTGCTCAGGGGACTGATCTCGAGGAACACCCATCCTGGCAGGCAGGAGGTGCATGTGGAGTAGTCGGTGCAGGTGGCACAGGTATCATGGCAGGTGGCACACAGACCGGTATCCGGACGGGGGTAATACCCCGGCAGGCAGTGGTCACAGGGGCGATCTGGGCGGCCAGTGCAGGAGGTGCAATTCGGGCCACAGGAGAGGCAGGTCTCCTTTTGGTTGTCCATCCGATGTCCAGCAGGACAAAGAGCCCCCGGGTCGAGGCCCAGAAGTGGAGGCCCATCGCACGTGGCACAGGTGGAGTGACATTCACGACAGAGAGGCGTGCCGCCGAGGGTGGAGTCCATGTCGGGGCCCAGGCCGGCCGGGCAGGCGGCCACGCACTTCCCCTGTGGCATGAGCAGGAGCCCCGGGGGGCAGGCGGCGCCCGGGGGGAGCGTCGAGCGGGGCATGCACGCACCGGTGACGGGGTCCAGGGAGAAGGTCTTTTGGCAGGTGGAGCACCGAGGCGCCGGGGATCCCGGCGAGCAGGTGGCACATCCAACTGGGCAGGGTCGGCACACACCTCCCGAAGCCGGGTAAAGCCCCGCCGAGCAGGGGGCGCATTCGTCGGTGGCGGAAATGTGGAAGAAGCCCCTCGAGCAGGCGGAGCACCGGGGACTGGGGGACCCCGGTGCACAGAGGGCACAGCCGTCCGGGCAATCCTGGCAGGCCCCGGTCGGCCCGAGGAAGTGGCCGGCAGGGCAGGGAGCACATTTGCCGGTGGCCGGATCCACGGCGAGGTCCGCCTGGCAGGCCGAGCACCGGGGACTGGCCGAGCCCGGAGGCAAGGCACAGTCGGCACAGCCGTCCGGGCAGTCCTGGCAGGCGCC